TTTTGACCAACTCCATTTAGCCACAGAAGCCTTAAGAACTTGGTGTGGAAAAGGACTGGAGAAAAAATCCAAGTCCGTACGGGATGCAAGTCATGCAATCCAAGTGTGACTGGAATGACATAGAATCATAGAATACTAGGACTGGAAGGAACCTCGAGAGGTCATCGAGTCCAGTCCCCTGCCCTCACGGCAGGAATAAATACTGTCTAGACCATCCATGATAGACATTTATCTAACCTACTCTTAAATATCTCCAGAGATGGGGATTACACGACCTTCCTAGGCAATTTATTCCAGTGTTTAACCACCCTGACAGTTCGGAACTTTTTCCTAATGTCCAACCTAAACCTCCCTTGCTGCAGTTTAAGCCCATTGCTTCTTGTTCTATCCTCATAGGCCAAGATGAACAAGTTTTCTCCCTCCTCCTTACGGCACCCTTTTAGATACCTGAAAATGGCTATCATGTCCCCCCTCAATCTTCTCTTTTCTAAACTAAACAAGCCCAGTTCTTTCAGCCTTCCCTCATAAGTCATGTTCTCTAGACCTTTCATCATTCTTGTTGCTCTTCTCTGGACCCTCTCCAATTTCTCCACATCCTTCTTGAAATGCGGTGCCCAGAACTGGACACAATACTCCAGCTGAGGCCTAACCAGCGCAGAGCAGAGCGGAAGAATGACTTCTCGTGTCTTGCTCACAACACACCTGTTAAAGACATGTGGTGGCTTCCTTTCGCAGAGCAAGGTCGGCCCCCTCTCCTATAGGAACCAGGCTCTTTCACCTTGAGAAACAAGGAAGAGAGTAAATTGAGGGACTGCTGGCACACTTTCAGAAGGAATAAGACCATTATTTCTGGAGAAAGCCTCATGCTCCACAAGCCCTTTCATTACATGGCTTTAAATGCTACGGCAGATTTGCTAGTGGGAGCTCACCTGTTTGGGGTAATATCCGGCTGAATAACATTGGTTAAGAAGAGACTCTTGTCATGCACAGCTTCCCTGCTTGCCTCTCTAGGGAAAGTGCCCCCTTGGAAGAGCTTGATTTAAAGCCCCTGCTTATCCCTGATTGGAAGTTGCCAGGCCCAAAGAGAATTCTGGGAAATGTAGTCTTTCAATCAAAGTTAAAGCAGAAGAAAGGTTTTCTAATCCTGGGGGAAATTCACCTAGATGAAAGGGGCCTCAGTTTACCTCTAGCTTTACTAGTCTTGGGCTGGCTAGTGGGTGCAGCAGCTGTTCTCATGGAGGGGGAGATGGAAGTGCGGTATTTTGTCAGTGTTCCTGCATTGGTTTCTTGAGCTGTGGTTTTGACTTCCCCCAAGTTTGCAATAGGAGTGTGCTGTATTTCCCTGAGAGGCTGGCGGTAAGATGAATTCTTTATGACTTGTTAGCCAAGACATAAATAAAGCCTCCGGAGTACTCCAATGCTATAGATCAGGGTGGGAAACCTCAGGCCCAGGGCCTGGATGCGACCCCTCGGCTTGCCTGGATCTGGCCCCCTGCCCCTCAGGGACCCCATGCTGGTGCTCCAGCTCCTTTGCTTTCCCATGATGGGGCCGGAGCACACAAAACAGACTAGCCTGCAGCCCCCCCAGGCTCTGGTGTGTGAGGGGAATGTCTTTGTACTTCTCAGTCGGGGGCCATGTTTTGAGGTTTTTTGCTTCTCACTTGTGTGCCCCCCAACTGATTTTTCTGTGGGTCAGCACCCCCCACCCCTTCTATAGATATTGCCTTTGGAGGCTTCTGCTTCACTATAGCCTTAATTTCTCCTTAGGATCCCCAGGGGGGAGCAGCAGCCGCCTGCTTCTTCCCTTATTTACATCAGGGCTCTGTTTTTAATGTGCATGGTTTGGTTAACAGCTGATCCTAAAGAGCATTCCCTCCTGCAAAGCTCCACCAGCCCTTGCTCCCTTCCACCTCACGCCATGATGAGACCAGACATTCCCACATGCTGAGGTCCCAGGCCCCTGCTTGCTTGGCTCCTGCATGGGCTCCACTCCTTTGCGGGTGCCTTTTCCAGAAGCAGCATACAGCTGGCACAAGCTGCCTCTATTTTGCAGCCTGCCTCTGCTGTGCCTTCTAGCAAGCAGGTTACGGCACACAGCTAGGTCCGCACATGCAGAAGCAGGAGTTAGTAGCAGCTCTTCAAGGCCCTGCTAGGTTTCAGGCTGTTGCAGGGGGGTGGTTCTCAGAAAGTGGCGAGTCGATGGCTAGGGAAAGCAGCTCTCTGCTGTTTCGCCTTCACGGCCAGCTCTCCAAGGGAGCAAACATGCTCTGTGCTACAGGGCTCCTCGCAAGCAGCCAACATTTTGCAAGCCCATGGATCTGCATAGCCGGCCTCTCTGCTTTAAAGGCTGCTTCTAGGAGCAGGCAAACAACAACCAGCAGAGGCAACACAATTGCTCTTGGAAGGGGAGACTTTATTGTGAGCCCAACCTCAGTTTACCTGGCAAGCTTGGAGAGCAGCAGTGCTTTCTTCTCTATGGAGCGGGGATGGCTCTGTTTTCCTGCCTCACCACCCACCCCCTGCAACTGGCTGCAATTAGGCAAAACTAGCCCACCTGCTGCTAATTGGATGGCCACTGGCTTCCAGCTCTAAGGCTCTAAATACCCTGAGATGCAATGAGATTCTGGACGGAGGGTCCTGGTATGCACTGGGCCTACCACTGTATCCAGTGAAGGTCATGACAGGGCAGTAAAGTGGGGCCCAGAGATTGTCACAAGTGGGGGGTTGCAGATGGCTTCCATCAGGGTGCAGCATGTTGTCAGCTCTTGAGCAGTAACTAAACTCTTCAGAAGTAGGGGTTCCTGGACATCTTCTGGAGTGGGAACAGTTTGATCCTGGTTCCAGCCAGCTTGCAAAATCTCACTCTGATTCTTCTTACTAGGTGAATATAATTGCTGATTTCTCTTCTTCCTCTCCCCCCCCCCCCCCCCAATTCTTCTGTAGGAGGAGGTTTTTCCAACATTTGGCCTGTCTAGACTGGACCAAATGTCAGAAAAACCCCTTCTTCCTCGTGAAAAGAAGAATATGGGATGACCGAAAGATCATGTTTGCTCTTCCACTTAAAGAAGTGGAAGATCAAATGCATCCCTGGATGCAGAAGTGTTTTTCTGGGATATCTCCGGAATCCTGAAAAACTCTTGCAGTCTAGCTGTAACCTCGCTGGGTTGAGACAGGATGTGTAGGCTCTGGGGTGGGAATGAGGGATTTGGGTGTGGAAAGGGGTGAGAGGTGCAAGCTCTGGTAGGAAATCTGGATGCAGGAGAAGGTGGATAAGGCAACGCTCGGGGAGAGGGTAACAGGCCGGGCAGTGTTGGGGCTTGGAGGGTACACATGGATGGCAGGAGAGAGATCGCTTGATCATTACCATCGGTTCACTCCCTCTGGGGCACCTGGTGTTGCAGTGACCCCAACACTGGCATTGGCCACTGTCAGCAGACCGGATACTGGGCTGGATGGACCTATGGTCTGACCCACTATGGCCATTTTTAGGGTGTCTTGGCTAGTCAACTTTCAGGGTTATTCTTCAAAGCCGAGTTGGTCATCTCTACCAGAGGGTAGGGTGTAGGGCTGAAAAATACAGCAGCAGCCCCTTGGCCACATAAAGGCATTCAGGACAGCGAGGGCTGGACATGCGAGGCAAATAATAAATGAGGCAGGAGCTTGCAGCTCACACTGGATTATCCTAAATCTGATGGAGTGGCCAGACAGTTAATCCTGCTCCTCAGGAAGCTGTGGCGTTTCTGGGTCACTCCCAGCCAAGCGCTAGGAACCTGTCACATTCGAGTGCTGAACAGATCCAAGTGTAGAGGGCGGGATTGAACTTGCAACCTTAGGGGCTAAAGCCATGCGCGTCTGCTGCATGAGTTAAAAGCCTGCTGGCTCGCTGCTTACGCAGACTTCATGCTTGCTTGCCAGTGGTCTCAGTGCCTCTGGGATGGAAAGCTGCTTTGGATCTCTTTGGGTCACACCCAACTCGGTCCTAAAATGAAATTAAAAACAAACCCAGACCAAATAGCAAACCAGCTACATTGATACCCATCAAATGTTAACACAGGGCATCTCTCTTTGTGGCATCGGGGTTTGATCTCTCTCTTCCCCTGCCTCGCTGATGTTGAACCCAACTGTGCCAAACAAGACACACCCTTGTTTTTATGCATTGTGGTGACCGTGTGCTCAGTGGTGTGTGACTGGCGTGTGATGTATGATCCTGGCCCTAAAGGGCCTAACCTGGAGAAAGCGAGACAGCCAGAGGATGTGCTAGAAAAAGCACAGGTGGGGCTAAGTCAGTTTGTTGGCTTCTATGTACTTACTAGTACCCCACGTTTAATATTAACGTGACCCTCGTTAATAAGAGAGCACACCTATCTAATTGGGCACCACTCAGACTGCACGCTGAAGAAGGCTGGGCCCCGGTGGCCACGGTATGTGATCATGTAATTAAAGGGTTATGACTTGTAATGCAGGAGTGCCCAGTGAGTCCACTATGCAGGGTGCTCTATTTTACACGCGTGGCCAGACATTCTCTGTGCCCAGGGGTCAGTCTGGGCATGTCAGACCACGGGAGGGGGTCACCGTCACCTCTGGGAAAGAGGCTTGGACGAGGGACCGGTCCAAAGAACCCTATTGCGCAGCACAAGTGGCAGCCTCTGTCCTCGGCCTGCGTGACAGCTGGTCCCTGCCTTGTCTCAAGCTGTTCTGCAGGAGCAGGTGTGATGGCACGTCAGGGAGCCCCCCCAACCTTGCACCCCTGTCCGCAGCCAAATGTGACTCTCCACCCCGTAGAGTAAAAATGGGTTTATTGCTTCTCCAAGATACAGCACAGCATAGGCTCAATGCAGGCATAGGCTAGGCCGACAGCCCTAGTTCCCTTGGGGGGAAGGGGTTCACAGGCCCCTCAACCCCTCATACTGGTTTTAGTCGGCTTCCCCACACTGATTGCCCTTTCTCAACCACAGAACACTCATTTCCTCTCTCCCCCCTGGTAGCCACACCCCTTCCTTTGTTTAAACCCTTTCCCTGGCCAGATGTGAAGTTGCTAGACATGGTCTACGTCAGTGGTCACCAACCAGTCGATCGGGATCTACCAGTAGATCCCGGCGCCTCTGACAGGGGATCCTGGCTGGTTTGGCTGGGAGACTATCAAGCGTAGGACTTCGGCTGCCAGTCCTACCTCTGCTCCTGCTCAGAACTGCCCTTGGAAGCTTCTTGCTTGTTGTGCGGAGTGGGGGAGATAGAGGCAGGGCAGCACTGATGTCTCTCTGTCCCCCTCCCCTGTACCCCATATTCAGAGTGGGGAGGGTGGGGCCTCAGCAAAGGGGTGGAGCAGGGGTGTTTGGGTTTGAGGTGGATCCTGATCTGACAAATTCAAAAAGTGATCTCCTGCTTAAAGTTGGAGACCACTGGTCTACGTGCACTGCCCTCAGGGACGGCCCCCCTGCCGGGCAGTGCTTACAGACACAGGCCAGTAGGGGTCAGCCACAGCATAACACCAGTGAATGCCCAACCACAGTGGAGCTGGGGCCACAAGAGTGTACAGCCCCCCCCCCCCCGCACCCCCGCAGGGTAGCATAGTTGCTTTGGATACTGACAGAAAGGGGTTTCCTGTTGATTGTAAGTTTCCCACCTCCCTGAGTGCCAGTAGTGAGGTGGATTAAAACAATCTCCCTTCAACCTGGCTATGCCCAGCAGAGGGGGCGGGGGCGGGATGTTACATCAGCTAGTCCAGCAGTTTTCAGACTCTTTTTTTTTTTCCTCCTGACCCAATGGAAGAAAATTGTTGATGTCTGTGACCCAACGATTTGACTGGTGTGTGGGAGGGGGCTCTGGCTTTGTAGGGGCAGGAGGGGCTTACTTGGAGCGGCTCCCGGGCAGCAGGGGGGCTAAGGCAGCTTTCTGTCTCTCCTGGCCCTGCAGACCATGCTGCAGCCAGCAGCAGGTTCTCATCCAATGCGAGTGCAGAGCTAGTGCTTGGGGCAGTGCAGGGAGCCCTGTGCTGCCAACCGACCCACCTAGTAGCCGGGCCTACTGCCGGCCGCTTCTGGGGTTCAGCACAGTCTGCAGTACCAGGATGGACAGGAAGCTGCCTTAGCCTCCCCACTGCTCACCCGATCCCCATGCAGCAGAGACCCAGCTCCCGACATCCACCTCCCAGTGCTGGGTCAGGACCCATCATTGAAAACCACAGAGGTAAACTCTAATTCTCCTGCATTCCGGTCACACCCGTGTGTGTGAAGCAGCTAGATCCATTTGGCTTTTAAGCATAAGCCAGTGCCCAAACTGCACGTGTTGGGATATAACTGGAGCAGCAGCTAATATTACACGTGCAGCCTTACCAGAGTCGTTTCCAGACCCTTGAGTGATTTTTTTTTTTTTCTCGGCAACCTCTGTCCTCCTCTCTAGAAAGTTTTGATAGTTGCCTAGCTCTTGCTTGTTTGAAAGAGAAACTGCGGTAAAAAGCCTAGGACTTCATGTCCTGAGACAAGCCGGTTTTGTCTCTTCCCTCTGTCTATAGTGAATTGGATTTCTTGGTCCACGAATAAGGCTGCAGCTGCACCTCTGTAGTGCTTAGCTGAAGATGCTCTACGTCAGTGGTCCCCAACACGGTGCCCGCGAGCGCCATGGCGCCCACCGGGGCATTTGTGTGCGCCC